TGCTGTTTATGACGTCGAATATCGACATCCTAAACACCAAACTTGATGCTGTTTATGACGACGAATATCGACGTCATAAACACCAAACTTGATGGTGTTTATGACGTCGAGTATCGCCGTCATAAACACCAAAGATGATGGTGTTGATGACGTCGAATATCGCCGTCATAAACACCAAACTTGATGGTATTAATGACGTCGAATATCGACGTCATAAACACCAAACTTGATGGTATTAATGACGTCGAATATCGACGTCATAAACACCAAACTTGATGGTGTTTATGACGTCGAATATCGACATCATAAACACCAAACTAGTTGGTGGTGTTTATGGCGTGGAATATCGACGTCATAAACACCAAACTTGATGGTGTTTATGACGTCGAATATCGACGTCATAAACACCAAACTAATTGGTGGTGTTTAAGGCGTCGAATATCGACGTGATAAAAACCAAACTTGATGGTGCTTATCACGTCGAATATCGACGTCATAAACACCAAACTTGATGGTGTTTATGACGTCGAATATCGACTTCATAAACACCAAACTTGATGGTATTTATGACGTCGAATATCGACATCATAAACACCAAACTTTATGGTGTTTATGACGTCAAATATCAACGTCATAAACACCAAACTAATTGGTGGTGTTTATGGCGTCGAATATCGGCGTCATAAACACCAAACTTGATGGTGTTTATGACGTCGAATATCGACGTCATAAACACCAAACTTGATGGTGTTTATGACGTTGAATATCGCCGACATAAACACCAAACTTGATGCTGTTTATGACGTCGAATATCGACGTCATAAACACCACACTAGATGGTGTTTATGACGTCGAATATCGACGTCATAAACACCAAACTAGATGGTGTTTATGACGTCGAATATCGACGTCATAAACACCAAACTAGATGGTGTTTATGACGTCGAATATCGAGGTCATAAACACCATATATGATGGTGTTTATGGCGCCGAATATCGCAGTCATAAACACCAAACTTGATGGTGCTTATGACGTCGATTATCGACGTCATAAAGACTAATTGGTGGTGTTTATGGCGTCGAATATCAAACTAATTGGTGGTGTTTATGGCGTCGAATATCGACGTTATAAACACCAAACTTGATGGTGTTTATGACGTGGAATTTCGACATCATAAACACCAAACTTGATGGTGTTTATGACGTCGAATATCGACGTCATAAACACCAAACTTGATGTATTTATGACGTCAAATATTGACGTCATAAACACCAAACTTGATGGTGTTTATGACGTCGAATATCGACTTCATAAACACCAAACTTGATGGTGTTTATGACGTCGAATATCGACATCATAAACACCAAACTTGATGGTGTTTATGACGTCGAATATCGACATCATAAACACCAAACTTTATGGTGTTTATGACGTCGAATATCGACGTCATAAACACCAAACTAATTGGTGGTGTTTATGGCGTCGAATATCGACGTCATAAACAACAAACTTGATGGTTTTCATGACGTCGAATATCGACGTTATAAACACCAAGCTTGATGGTGTTTATGACGTCGAGTATCGCCGTCATAAACACCAAACTTGATGGTGTTTATCACGTCGAATATCGCCGACATAAACACCAAACTTGATGGTGTTTATGACGTCGAATATCGACGTCATAAACACCACACTAGATGGTGTTTATGACGTCGAATATCGACGTCATAAACACCAAACTAGATGGTGTTTATAACGTCGAATATCGAGGTCATAAACACCATACATGATGGTGTTTATGACGTCGAATATCGCAGTCATAAACACCAAACTTGATAGTGCTGATGACGTCGATTATCGACGTCATAAAGAACAAATTTGATGGTGTTTATGACGTCGAATATCGACGTCATAAACACCAAACTAATTGGTGGTGTTTATGGCGTCGAATATCGACGTTATAAACACCAAACTTGATGGTGTTTATGACGTCGAGTATCGGCGTCATAAACACCAAACTTGATGGTGTTTATGACGTCGAATATCGCCGTCATAAACACCAAACTAGATAGTGTTTATGACGTCGAATATCGACGTCATAAACACCAAACTAGATAGTGCTTATGACGTCGAATATCGACGTCATAAACACCAAACTTGATAGTGTCTATGACGTCGAATATCGACGTTATAAACACCAAACTTGATGGTGTTTATAACGTCGAGTATCGCCGTCATAAACACCAAACTAGATAGTGTTTATGACGTCGAATATCGACGTCATAAACACCAAACTTGATGGTGTTTATGACGTCGAATATCGACGTTATAAACACCAAACTTGATCCTGTTTATGACGTCGAGTATCGCCGTCATAAACACCAAACTTGATGGTGTTTATGACGTCGAGTATCGCCGTCATAAACACCAAACTTGATGGTGCTAATGACGTCGAATATCGTCGTCATAAACACCAAACTTGATCCTGTTTATGACGTCGAATATCGACATCCTAAACACCAAACTTGATGGTGTTTATGACGTCGAATTTCGACGTCATACACCAAACTTGATGGTGTTTATGACGTCGAATTTCGACGTCATACACCAAACTTGATGGTGTTTATGACGACGAATATCGACGTCATAAACACCATACTTGATGGTGTTTATGACGTCGAATATCGCCGTCATAAACTCCAAACTTGATGGGGCTTATGACGTCGAATATCGACGTCATAAAGACCAAACTTGATGATGTTTATGACGTCGAATATCGAAGTCATAAACACCAAACTAATTGGTGGTGTTTATGGCGTCGAATATCGCCGTCATAAACACCAAAGATGGTGGTGTTGATGACGTCGAATATCGCCGTCATAAACACCAAACTTGATGGTGCTAATGACGTCGAATATCAATGGTGGTGTTTATGGCGTCGAATATCGACGTCATAAACACCAAACTTGATGGTGTTTATGACGTCGAGTATCGCCGTCATAAACACCAAACATGATGGTGTTTATGACGTCGAATATCGCCGTCATAAACACCAAACTAGACGGTGTTTAAGACGTCGAATATCGACGTCATAAACACCAAGCTTGATGGTGTCTATGACGTCGAATATCGACATCATAAACACCAGACTTGATGGTATTTATGACGTCGAATATCGAGGTCATAAACACCATACATGATGGTGTTTATGACGTCGAATATCGCCGTCATAAACACCAAATTTGATGGTGCTTCTGACGACGATTATCGACGTCATAAAGACCAAATTTGATGGTGTTTATAACGGCGATATTCGACGTCATAAACACCAAACTAATTGGTGGTGTTTATGGCATCGAATCTCGACGTCATAAACAACAAACTTGATGGTGTTTATGACGTCGAATATCGACGTTATAAACACCAAACTTGATGGTGTTTATGACATTGAATATCGCCGACATAAACACAAAACTTGATGGTGTTTATGACGTTGAATATCGACATCATAAACACCAAACTTGATGGTATTTATGACGTCGAATATCGAGGTCATAAACACCATACATGATGGTGTTTATGACGTCGAATATCGCCGTCATAAACACGAAACTTGATGGTGCTTATGACGACGATTATCGACTTCATAAAGGCCAAATTTGATAGTGTTTATAACGGCGATATTCGACGTCATAAACAGCAAACTAATTGGTGGTGTTTATGGCGTCGAATATCGACGTCATAAACAACAAACTTGATGGTGTTTATGACGTCGAATATCGACGTCATAAACACCAAACATGATGGTGTTAATGACGTCGAATATCGACATCATAAACACCAAACTTGATGGTGTTTATGACGTCGAATATCGACATCATAAACACCAAACTTGATGGTGTTTATGACGTCGAATATCGACGTCATAAACGCCAAACTTGATGATGTTTATGACGTCGAATATCGACGTCATAAACACCAAACTTGATGGTGTTTATGACGTCGAATATCGACGTCATAAACACCAAACTTGATCGTGTTTATGACGTCGAATATCGACGTCATAAAACCAAACTTGATGGTGTTTATGACGTCGAATATCGACGTCATAAACACCAAACTTGCTCGTGTTTATGACGTCGAATATCGACGTCATAAACACCAAACTTGCTCGTGTTTATGACGTCGAATATCGACGTCATAAACACCAAACTTGATGGTGTTTATGACGTCGAATATCGACGTTATAAACACCAAACTTGATGCTGTTTATGACGTCGAGTATCGCCGTCATAAACACCAAACTTGATGGTGTTTATGACGTCGAATATCGCCGTCATAAATACCAAACTTGATGGTGCTAATGACGTCGAATATCGTCGTCGTAAACACCAAACTTGATGGTGTTTATGACGTCGAATATCGACATCATAAACACCAAACTTGATGGTGTTTATGACGTTGAATGTCGACGTCATACACACCAAACTTGATGGTGTTTATGACCACGAATATCGACGTCATAAACACCACACTTGATGGAGTTTATGACGTCGAATATCGCCGTCATAAACACCAAACTTGATGGTGCTTATGGCGTCGAATATCGACGTCATAAAGACCAAACTTGATGATGTTTATGACGTCGAATATCGACGTCATAAACACGAAACTTGATGGTGTTTATGACGTCGAATATCGACATCATAAACACCAAACTAATTGGTGGTGTTTATGACGTCGAATATCGACATCATAAACACCAAACTTGATGGTGTTTATGACGTCGAATATCGACATCATAAACACCAAACTTGATGGTGTTTATGACGTCGAATATCGACGTCATAAACACCAAACTTGATGGTGTTTATGACGTCGAATATCGACGTCATAAACACCAAACTTGATGGTGTTTATGACGTCGAATATCGACATCATAAACACCAAACTTGATGGTGTTTATGACGTCGAATATCGACATCATAAACACCAAACACGTTATAAACACCAAACATGATGGTGTTTATGACGTCGAATATCGACGTCATAAACACCAAACTTGATGGTGTTTATGACGTCGAATATCGACGTCATAAACACCAAACTTGATGGTGTTTATGACGTCGAATATCGACGTCATAAACACCAAACTTGATGGTGTTTATGACGTCGAATATCGACGTCATAAACACCAAACTTGATGGTGTTTATGACGTCGAATATCGTCGTCATAAACACCAAAGTTGATCGTGTTTATGACGTCAAATATCGACGTCATAAACACCAAACTTGATGGTGTTTATGACGTCAAATATCGACGTCATAAACACCAAACTTGATGGTGTTTATGACGTCGAATATCGACGTCATAAACACTTTCAAACTTGATGGTGTTTATGACGTCGAATATCGACGTCATAAACACCAAACTTGATGGTGGTTATGACGTCGAATATCAACGTCATAAACACCAAACTTGATGGTGTTCATGACGTCGAATATCGTCGTCATAAACACCAAAGTTGATCGTGTTTATGACGTCGAATATCGTCGTCATAAACACCAAAGTTGATCGTGTTTATGACGTCGAATATCGTCGTCATAAACACCAAAGTTAATCGTGTTTATGACGTCGAATATCGTCGTCATAAACACCAAAGTTGATCGTGTTTATGACGTCGAATATCGTCGTCATAAACACCAAAGTTGATCGTGTTTATGACGTCGAATATCGACGTCATAAACACCAAACTTGATGGTGTTTATGACGTCGACGTCATAAACACCAAACTTGATGGTGTTTATGACGTCAAATATCGACGTCATAAACACCAAACTTGATGGTGTTTATGACGTCGAATATCGACGTCATAAACACCAAACTTGATGGTGGTTATGACGTCGAATATCAACGTCATAAACACCAAACTTGATGGTGTTTATGACGTCGAATATCGTCGTCATAAACACCAAAGTTGATCGTGTTTATGACGTCGATATTCGACGTCATAAACACTTTCAAACTTGATGGTGTTTATGACGTCGAAAATCGACGTCATAAACACCAAACTTGATGGTGTTTATGACGTCAAATATCGACGTCATAAACACCAAAGTTGATCGTGTTTATGACGTCGAATATCGACGTCATAAACACCAAACTTGATGGTGTTTATGACGTCGACGTCATAAACACCAAACTTGATGGTGTTTATGACGTCGAATATCGACGTCATAAACACCAAACTTGATGGTGTTCCAATCGTGTTTATGACGTCGAATATGTTCAAGCGTACTTTGAGGGCCAAGGTCGCCGTTATTATGTGCAATATTGTGCGACGTTGGCTGGGGAAAATTTGCCATATTCATCAGTGACAGTTCCAAAAATTAAAATCCAGGTATACGCGTTATATAAATGTATAGTGTTTTCCACAAAACGTGTAGTTTATTGCTATGCAAAAATTGCAAAGCACGAAGAACTTAGTGCAAAAAATTGCTTACATACCTTCCTTTGGTGTGGTCGGTTAACTTCGCCTGAAATTAAATAAAATTTAAATTTACTTGAGTTAGTCCACAAAAAGAATATACTCGTATACACATATGTATACATGCGACATGTCTGCAACTAACCTTAGATCCTGACCAGACAAAAATTTGTAAGCCAGTGTCTAATACGAAACAATATCTTGGATCCAAAGATTTGTATGTCAGAGGAACCTATGGAATAGAGAAATGTCATAAAATCAACTGTTGAATTTTTTCGTAGATAGAAATTTTGAGTGGGATTTGTATAAATCTAGTAGACCTATATATATAATCAGAAGCAGCTGCCAAAAATGCAACTACAGTACAAGCCCTCTGGCAGGAATCGAATCTGTTTTCATTGTGGATTTCCATCCATAGATTCAATTCCCAAAAAGTCCACTTCTCTATGGGTTCAATTTTTGGTTTAGACAACAGGAGGGAAGATGGAACTTACTGGTTCGAGATGTACAATAGTTGTTCCAACTAATCTGTATAACCGAGTAACATAAATCTGTCAAAAGATAATTATAATATATAATCAAGAACAGTCAACAAAACTTTCTTTTTTTATACGGGATAACTCTATCAGTTTTAAACTGTCCTCCCGCGGGTCATTCTTTAGGAACAGGAGGAAACCTAAATTAAACTAACTTTATTTGTATACTGCAGATAGCTCCATCAGTTCTAAACTGTTCTCCCTAGAGGTTAATTAATGATCATCTTTTATTGATCCGGTCTACAGAAGGAAATCTAAACTAAACTAACTTTATTTACTCCAGATCTACAGGAGAAAATCTAAACTAAACTAACTTCATTTATACTGGATAGCTCCATCAGTTCTAAACTGTTTTCCCTAGAGGTTAATTAATGATCATCTTTTATTGATCCGGTCTACAGAAGGAAATCTAAACTAAACTAACTTTATTTACTCCAGATCTACAGGAGAAAATCTAAACTAAACTAACTTCATTTATACTGGATAGCTCCATCAGTTCTAAGCTGCATGTTCTTCCTGGAGGTTCAGTAAGGATCATCTCTTGTTGATATTATTGAATCTCTTACTGTTATTATTGATTTTATTTCTACAGGAGGAAATCTAACTTTATTTATGTTAGCTAACAGCTCGAAACTGTTCTTCCTAGTGGTCCAGCATAGGGATTGTACAGGAGGAAAC